TTTGATAGCAGCCATTACTGGAGAATTGAAGTTATTTGAACCACTTTGCCAGACAAAAGCGAACTACTTGTTTTCCTTCTGGAAACGGCAGTGAGAATGTCTTACTAAGTGGAACCAAATCAGGGGGTTTTCTAGAAACAGCTGAAGAGATCATTTTTTATAAACCCATTTATTTGGCCCTGTAAGAGCCAGGCTTCTCCTTACTGAGACTTTTTCTCCTTACTTACTCCTGATACTTTTACCCATATCTCCTCTACGATCACTGGTCAAAACCAGCCCTGATTATGTGTGCAGCCTCTGCATGAGCTACTACAGGAAAATATAAGCAGAGGACCTCAAGACCCTGCTGCAAACACGGTGACAGATTATTCCCTGAAATACGACTTCCAGCTAATCAGGACCTGATACCTTTCATCTGTCCAGAACAGCCATCCATAGCTGGAAAATCCTGGCTTTTTTTTTTTTTTTTTTTATGTACCTGCAGCTAATTTTGCCTACATGAAAAGTGGATAGTAAGGATGCAGGTAAAACAGTGAAAAAAAAATAAAAAGAAAGAGCTTTCCTAGCTGCTGTGGGGTGGGTGTAACAGAACCACCAGCTCCTGAGTTGGAAATCCTGTGTCAAAGCTCAGAAGTAGCACTTAGACTCGAAAGGATGAGACTTTTAGAGGTAATAATAATTCTTGGATCTTATCTCTTCCCTTCCTTTTCTTAGCCCTTTGCATTCATGGTTTCAAACTTTTGACTGCAGGCCTAGAAGATTAAAATGGGAAAAAAAAAAAATCAAAGCTGAATCAATGTTGTTTTAACATGACTCTGGCAGAGGGTTCTTTAAATCAATCATAAAGAATTGCCAGGCTGGCAATAAAATTCTGGGACCCAGCGACATCCATCCCGTGTTTCAAAACCATTATCTGCCTTTCTCTCTGAGACAGTTAACAAATAAAGATCTTTTGCAAAAGGCATAAGAGACACTCCAGTGAAGCAATTTCTTCTCCTGGCATTGTTAAGAGCGGGGCCTGGGTTATTATTAATTACTTTTGCATTATTTATGTAGATCCATGAATGTGCAATGTCCTTTACAGATAAATCACTCTGCCTTGAAAAGTTTCCAGCCAGCGAGCCAAATCCTGCGGTGAAAATCTGTAACAGCAGGAGGCAATTCTGTGCTGCAGAACAGGTAAGTATTAATCCTTCATGCTGCTGGACTGGTGTGTTATCAACATTGCTATTTCATTTGTGTTGCAATTGCACCCAATAGACTCAACTGGTGCTGTCGTTTCACAACCTTTTTAATCTGGCATCGGTTGAAAGCAGCAGCCTCTATCCTCTTCCTCATTCCTGCTCCTTCTCTTGCCTCTTTTCTTGTGGTTGAGGCAGCCACATGGCGAACCGAAGCAGGGAAATGATGGGGGTTAAGGCTCATCTGGCAAAAATAAGGAAAGGTTTCATTTTGGCCGGTCTAAACTCAGATCCCTGCGTGCGAGGTTTGCAGCTCCTCCTGCCCTGCCTGTGTTCTTCTGGTTGCCCGTGGAGAGGGACTCGAAGGTGCAGGAGGTACCCTCAGAGCTCACCACGGCCTGGCGGGGAGTTGAGAAGGGGCCACTGTTGCCTTTCACCCTCTGAGGGCTGCCAGCTTGACTGGTTCAGAGTGCTTGTCATCTCTGCAGGACGATGGAAGGGGTGTCAGCTATGGAAGTCGAGGGAGAAACGCCCCGACTTGTCCCTTTGGCAGCCCTGCTCGTTTTTATCACAGAATCACAGAATCTTCTAGGTTGGAAGGGACCTTAAAGATCATCTTGTCCAACCGTCAACCTGACTGACAAAAATAGACACCCACACAACAAACAAGGAGCATCATCACTAACCCAGACCTCCCAGCACTACATCAACCCGGCTTTTGAACACCTCCAGGGATGGGGCCTCAACCACCTCCCTGGGCAGCCCATTCCAATCCCTGATAACCCTTTCAGTGAAAAAATTTTTCCTAATATCCAGCCTGAACCTCCCCTGGCGCAATTTGAGGCCATTTCCTCTCGTCCTGTCGCCTGTGACTTGAGAAAAGAGACCGACCCCACCTCTCTGCACCCTCCTTTCAGGGAGTTGTAGAGAGCAATAAGGTCTCCCCTCAGCCTCCTCTTCTCCAGGCTGAACACCCCCAGCTCCCTCAGCCTCTCCTCATAAGACTTATTCTCCAGACCCCTCACCATCTTTGTCGCCCTTCTCTGGACCCGCTCCAGCCCCTCAATGTCTTTTTTATGGTAGGGGGCCCAAAACTGGACACAGTACTCAAGGTGAGGCCTCACCAGTGCCGAGTACAGGGGGACATTATGGGGTGTTTGTCAGTGCTGCCCCAACAAGAGGGAGCCGGGGGCTCCCTGGCAGGAAGGACAGAGCATCCCCAGCAGCTCAGGTACCTTTTGGAGGTGTGACCCCAGCCTCAGGTAACCCTCTGCAGCCCCAGGGATGCCCAGACCAGAGTCACATAGTCATCACCAGTTCTTGGGCTACGGCCCCGCTTGGAGCAGGAGGCCCCGTCTTGGGCGCTGCAGTCCTTTTAAAGCTGCTTTGTGGGTTTCTTTTCTCTTCTCTCTTTCTCTCTCTCTCTTTTTTTTTTTTTTTTTTTTCCCCAGGTTCCCATGGCTGGGGATTCAGCTTCTGGCTTCATCCAGAAATCCCTGAGGGTTTCAGATCCCCACGAGGCCTCTCAATGTCTTGATCTGCTTGAATAGGCATTTTTAACGCGGCCCCGGCTGTCATCGGGGCCTGTTACAGTCACTCAACTGCAGCAACATTGTTCTCGAGGCAGCGGCGCCCGGGACACCTCCCTTATTACCATACCACACGGGGGGGGATTTTGCCTCTGGATTTCTCCCCCTCGAGCATCACACCAGCTCCTTGGCCGGAGGCGGCCAATTAGCCCTCCCTCGCCTTCCATCCCACCTCCATCCCTCGGTGGCTCTCTCAGCATCTCCGGCCCGTGGGGGCTGCTGGCGCCTGTCCATCTCCTCCAGACCCCCTCGGAGGTAGAAGGTGACCCCCTTTTCCTGTGCCAGGCTCCCTGGCAACGGCGGCTTTTCTTTTCCAGCGGCCTCCTCCACCCCCTGACGGGGAGAGGGGCTGTGAAAGCCCCGCTGCACTTTTGAACTTGCTGCCGGCGCGCTCAGTGGCTGCGGGCGGCCGAGGGGCCGAGCCCAGCGGGGACCCGGTGCAATTGCCCAGAAGTTATTAATAGGCTGTAGAAGAATGTGATGGGCCGGGGAAAGGGGTGAGGAGGAGGAGGGGGGAGAAGAGCAAGAAGGGAGCAAAACGGGGAGGGTCGGCAAAAGGGAGATGAGGTGGTGGTGGAGGGGGAGGCAAGAGCGATGGCGTGTGGGAGAGACAAAGAGGCAAGAAAGAAGGAGGTGGGCACCAGCCTGGCAACCCAAGGGCATACAAAGGCTGGGGCTCTGAGTCCCCCTTGTCCTGCACCTTGTGCAGGTGTCTCATGGGTGGCTGTGCTGGTGGAGAGGTGTCTGACCCTAGTGCCGGTGGATGGAGAGGGCAGGGGGACAGAGCTGAGGGTTCAGTCCTTGCGCAGGGCATCCCTTTCCCAAAGTGAAATATTGCTCGGGGTTCATGAGCCAAATTTGCCATCTAGTGGCTCTGGGGACCATTGCAGAGGGACCCACGAGGCAGCAGCGGCCACGGGAGGGCCTGCTGCCTCTACACGGTGCCTCCACACGGAGGTTAAGCTCAGGGTGCTTCTGCTTGTGCTTTATTCATGGGAGCCCCAAAAGCCAGTAGTCCCTGGGTGACATTACCTTGTTCTGGCTACATTGCAGGGAGCCAGCCTTGGGGTGCACTCCAGAGACAGTCCCCACCGGTTGTGCAAGGACCCAGACCCATGACAAGGTTCAACTCCTCACTGATGCAGCAAGGCTTGGAGAACAGGAGCGTGTCCCATGGCCACAAGAGCAACTTCTTCACCATTATGAGGAGAGACTGAGAGAGCTGGGACTCTTTAGTCTGGAGAAGAGAAGGCTGAGGGGAGACCTTATCAATGCCTACAAGTATCTCAAGGGAGGGTTGAAGGAGGAGGGAGCCAGACTCTTTTCAGTGGTTCCCAGTGAGAGGACGAGGGGCAACGGGCACAAGTTGGAACAGAAGAGGTTCCACTCAAATATGAGGAGAAACTTCTTCACGGTGAGGGTGACAGAGCCCTGGAACAGGCTGCCCAGGGAGGGTGTGGAGTCCCCTTCTTTGGAGATTTTCAAGACCTGCCTGAATGCAGTCCTGAGTAACATGCTCTAGCTCTAGGTGATCCTGCTTCAGCAGGGGAGTTGGACTAGATGATCTCTATGGTCCCTTCCAACTCTAAAATTCAGTGAAATTCAGTGAAATTATGCTGTGGGAAGAGCCTGGAAAGCATCGCCCTGTACCCGTGGACCAGTGGACCCCAGCACAGCAGTGGTCTTTCTCTGAGGCTTTGCATCTTCTCTTTGTTCTTCCAAAGGTACCAACACGTTTATCTAATGGTTTGGCTCCTTACCTCACTCTGCTACTAGCCAGCCCTTGCAGCAAGCAGAGGACTCTCCAGGTGACACATGGCCATTGGAGACTGTCGGACCTGGGGGGAACAAGGGCCACTGGCGGCTGAAGAAGGGGTAGAGCCTGGGGTAGAGCACCATGGGAAATCATAGAATCATGGAATCATTTAGGTTGGAAGAGACCCTTGGGATCATCGAGTCCAACCATCTCCCCTACTCTACAAAGTTCTCCCCTACACTGTATCCCCCAACATGGATATGGTGTAGGGGAGGGCCAGCAGAGCCTCTTTTGGGCTGTCACACCCAGGGGGATTTTTTTTTATATGAGTTTTCCTACCCAGGAGGATATTTCTCTTTATAAACAGCTCTCCATAGGTCAGAGAGAGCTTTGGCCACCCTGTCTGTGGGAGTGACCGGCAGATAACAGGAGAAAAAAAACAGGGGAAAAAAATAAAGGGGCTCAGTGCAAGTCAGTGTCCATAGCTTTAATGTACAGCTCTCCTGAGCAAGGCCACATACATCAATAAATAAAATTAATATTAGTTAGAGCAGCCCCAACAAACCCAGCTGTCACCAGTTTTGGCTTCTGTGTTCTCCGCTGTGCCCTGGTCAGCAAGGGGTGCCGCTGCTTGGCTAGTGCAGAAGACACCAAAGAAGCACCATCTCCCTCCCCTTCTCAGTGGGGATCTGCTGGAGGAGGAGATCTTCGGTTCCCCGGATGCCAGTCTGGGCAGAGTCTTCCAAGGCACCTGCGGGCTCCCACCCTGCTTCATGCCCAGCATCACGAGGCCTCAGCTGCTCCCTGCCCCATCCACATTGCCCTTGTCCGAGGAACAGGCGCACAGCTGAGGGGTTCCCCGTGCAGATGCACGCGTGCGCGTCCCGCACCCCGTGCCCGAGGGATGCCTGAGGGCAACCAGCTCTAGCACTGCTTGTGGGGTTGCTCCAGGGCAACGTAAGGCACCACGACAGGCCAAGAGTCGCCGGGCCAGTATCCCAGCTTCGGCTTGAACGATGGCATCTCGTAGTTGACGTCAAAGTAGATGACCAGTGGGCAGCAGTACAGGAGGGACATGGCGATCAGCACGTGCCTGGCAAGGAAACCAGAAAAAGATGTGTTGGAGAGGGACAATTCCATCTGCTCTTCCTGCTCCTTGTAGCAGTGTGTTGCTGGCATTGCCATCGTGTGGCTAAAGCCAAGGGGTACGGCGATGGGCAAGCAAAGGTCCCAACCCTGTGATGCATGAGAGATGCAGGGAGCGTGTGTCCTGCTGGATCTGTGCCTGTGGGGAAATCCTAGAAGAGCTCTGTGAGCCGGGGCTGGGGCAGAGGGGGTGGGCTAATAGAGGGGATGTGAGCCCCAAATCAAACCACCCATTCCACCTCTCCTGGCCTGCCCCAGCAGCTCTGGCTGTCTGTCCCAGTCATTCCAGTGATTTGTGAGGCCAAAACCTGAGAATGCGCCCAGTGTGTGGCACTTGCAGCTACACTTGGCCGGGCACCAAAATGTCTTGCCCAAGCAAATCACTGTCTTTCAGTTTGTCTGTTATAATAACTCAAAAGAGCATTGCACTTCATGCAGCTTCCCGGGAGCAGATGCAGCCCTTTGAAAGCAAGCTGTTACCTGGAGGGACTTTTTAGCACAATTTCACTTGCAAAACACCGTTTGGCTTGCGCGGAGGAGGTAAAGGATATTAAGCAGTGATTAGGGCCAAATCTTTGGGCTGGATCCAGGGTGAGGAGCAGCATCAACAGCCACAGAGGAAAGGGGGAGAGGGCTGGGCAGAGATGTAGCTGCTCCCTGGTGGAGTCTCACATCCCTGCTGCCCTCTCTCCTTAGCTGTGGGCCTTCAGCTGCTGAAATGTTTGGGCTGGGATTCCTGCCTTTGCGCTGGAGCCCTTACCAGAAGCTGTGGAAGTAGGGGAAGTTGATGGCCTGCCAGAGCCCACAGAGCCATCTGTCACTTATCCAGCTGCTGATGGCCAGTACCCACCACACGACCATGACTGCAGCCATCCGGTGAACCCTTTTGTCATTGCACCTGGAAGACACAGCGAGAGAGAGGGATGGAAGGAAAGAGTTACAAAGAGGGCTGATTTCTGTCTGCAAGTGCTAATGCAACAGAGCAAAACCCAGCAAGTTTATTCTGGAGAGTATTCATCAGACCACAAGAACTGGAGAAGGGGGTCTCTGGCTTTCTGTGGGTGAGAATGATGCTAGAAGATGCCAGAGTGCTCCTGTCTTTCTTCCCAGATCCTTGGGGGGGTTGTCCCAACCCCATGCTGGTTCCCAAATCCCCCACAAAGGGAAACAACTGCAGAGTTGGCAGTTGAGGAGGAAAATATGGACTTGTCGGTGCTCCTGTCTTTCTTCCCAGATCCTGGGGGGTTCTCCCAACCCCATTCTGGTTCCCAAATCCCCCAGAAAGGGAAACAGCTGCAGAGATGGCAGTTGAGGAGGAAAATATGGACTTGTCCCATGGATTGTCCCCATTCTGCGTGGCACCTGGGCCAGGTGGCCTTCTTGTACCCCACTGCCCACAGTTCTGCCCATCCCTCTTCCTGGGTGCCTCCCAGGCCACCCCAATTCTTTACAGAGCTGATAGTCCAATATGTGGCTGATGAATTCTTGGCATCCTCCATTCACTGTTGGGCAAAGAGTCAGTGCCAGGAGCGTGTGATGGACCTGCAGAGAACCCCTCTTGGCCCCCTCCTTACTTTTTCAGCTCACGCCATGTCAGGTATAACAGGTGGAAGGCGATGCAGTTGAGCGCGTAGGCGTTGAAAGCTGGTTTGATGAAGGACATCAAGGTACTGATCACAGTGGTGACACCGCTCAACCAGAAGAAATGCTTCCTAAAGAGGGTTGGGAGTGAGTGTTAGTGCCCCCGAGGTTCACAGTGTGGAAGGATAAGGATGGGAGAGGTCCTGCTCATTGCCTGCGAGAGGAAACCCTTCTCCAGCACCTCAACCTGTTTGCACATGGCTGATCTCAGCCTGGCAGGAAGGCTGAGCTCTGTTTATAGCTGTGCTTTGCCAACCCCCCCAAAAAGTTTCTCCATGACAGAGCAGGGAACACAGCCTGGAATGTAACTTGTGCATTTTCATGGTGGTGCCGGAGCATGGAGAGGCAAAGCCATCAGCTTTGCGCAGGGAAGGGCTGCAAAGCAGGAATCCCTGCAGCTGGGGCAGGGGCTGGAGCTGTGCAAACATGCAGATTTGGGCTGACTGAACAACAATAGGGCTCAGAGGGGCCTTTCACATGCAAATCCCTTCCCAAGTCCCTTCCCCTCTCCCCCAACCATGTCTCCACGGTGAACTCCTGGTGACCTCCGCATCCCCATGGGAAGAGCAGACTTGGAGCAGGCCTTTGCAGGGCTTCTAACTGACTTAGAGGCTCCAGCAAACCCACCAGGGAGGTACCATCCTTTGAGTAAAGCCCTGCTGGGTTCCCGTTTCTGCTGATCCATGCTCACCCAGTTTCCCCACCCTTTCTGCTGAGCTCCTCCAGCCCAGCCAGCCCCCCTGCAAACAGCCTTTGAAACGTGGGGTGTTAACTAGGAGCAGCTTGTCCTATGGGAAACCCCATCAGCCTTCAGGGAAAGCTCCCTGTGGATGGCAGGGGATCCTCTGACAGTTTGACAGGACGGGTAATTGAATGTCAGTGCTCAGGAACATTTAATTCCCTAATTAATTTTGAAATTCTCCCTGCTAAGTTTTCTCTGCAGCTTTGCAAAGACAAGCAGCTCCAGTCAGCTGGAGCCCAGTCCTTCCCCACGGGAGGGTTTCTCACTCTTCCTCTGTCAGCACATCCACCACTGAGTGATGGAGGGTCTGGTCCCAAGGCAAACTGTGGAAACCTCAGTGCTGACCCCTTGCAGGGGACCTGGCTGTGGGATGGGGGTTGGGATCTGTGGGTCACACACATTAATGTCAGTGTCCCAGCCCTCCCCTCGGAGCCTGCAGCACAGTGTCCCTCTGAGTCATACCTGCTCTTGATGAACCTGGGGAAGTAAACCTTGGGGTACCAAAAGGAATATGCCACAGCCAGCGTCCAGAGGATGGAGAGTTCGTCCAAGAGTTGTCCCACGTAGCTCAGGGTCATGTGAAAGTACATGGAGAAGATACCTGCAAGGAGCAAGGACAGCTTGTGTCAGCAAAGCTCCAGTCTCTCTGGGACTCTTTAGTCTGGAGAAGAGAAGGCTGAGGGGAGACCTTATCAATGCCTACAAGTATCTCAAGGGAGGGTTGAAGGAGGAGGGAGCCAGACTCTTTTCAGTGGTTCCCAGTGAGAGGACGAGGGGCAACGGGCACAAGTTGGAACATAAGAGGTTCCACTCAAATCTGAGGAGAAACTTCTTCACGGTGAGGGTGGCAGAGCCCTGGAACAGGCTGCCCAGGGAGGGTGTGGAGTCCCCTTCCTTGGAGATTTTCAAGACCCGCCTGGATGCTCCTGAGGAACATGCTCTGACAAGCTCTGGGCAATCCTGCTTCAGCAGGGGAGTTGGACTAGATGATCTCTATGGTCCCTTCCAACTCTAAAATTCAGTGAAATTCAGTGAAATTCTTGCACAAGCCCATCTGGCCTGGGAATTTCTTGGGGGTCCCGAAGGGCAGGGCCTGGCATTAGTGGAGACTTGAGTGGGTCAGTCCCCTCAGCAGCACAGGGATTGACTGGTCTGGAAGCTGGGCATCCACAGTCAGCAGGACCCATGAGCTGCAGGGCTTCAAACAGGCATGTTCTGTTTCCCACCCCGGCTTGCCCCTGTGCTTTGGCCACCAAGAACCAGCGTCCAAGGCCAAAAGTATCATGAATGAAAAACCAAATACTCTGGCAACCTGTCTGGTCTTCTCCCAACCTTGGCACCCACCTACGCAGAAGAGCAGCCCCGAGACGAAATACAAGGGCAAGGCGCGGTGCTGCCGGTACTGCCGGTTCAGGTAGAGCAGGGCAGGAGAAAGGACAAAGAAGCTTACATTGCTGATCTGAAAAACAAGATGCACGTTCAGCTTATTGCACGATCTTGGGCAAGCCCCATCCCACCGTGAGCCTCAGCTCCTCCATGGGCAAAGAGGATACTGATCTCTAGTGGAGAGCACGGCGCGGAGGCAGGTGTTACTCTTGGCACAGGGAGAGGGCAGAGGCGTTTCTGGAGAAGCAAGGCTGGAACTGGAAGGACAGCTATTTGCTGTGACAGCAGTGGCTGCAGAGATCCGTGCTCTCCCTGCAGGCACTTTTGGGACCAGCAAGCCCAGGGAAAGCTGGTGTGCCCCTTTTGGGTGGTGGTTTAGCTGCCGTTGCCCAGTGTCTTCAAGCAAGATGCCAAAGCTCTTCTGTGTGCAGCCATCTCCCTCTCCTGTCAACCCAGAGCTGCCAAAACCTCCCTGGGTGGCTTCTGCCTCTTTTGGCCAACAGGCAGCCCCCTGCGAGGGGTTTTGGAGGGGTGTGAGGAGCTAGGGTACCCCAGTAAACCACCCCCAGGAAAACCATCATTAACTGGGAGTGGGTGTAGGGGAGAGCAGCAGAACAAGCAAGACGTTTGTAGGTGGGAACAGGACTGAGGTGACATCCTGTAGTGTCATGTGTGAAGCCACCTGGCCTGAGGAGGGGAGGTGTTCTGGACACTTGTAATTAACATGAAGTCATAAACCTCCTTTAAACATACCTAGCAAATGAACACAGCAAAATTATTCTGCCCTGATTTCCAGCTCTGCAAAATTGCTGCATGGACAGAATTTGATTTGTCTGGGGAGGAGGTGATGGTCCTGGGCGGGCTGAAGGTGCCAGTGCTTCGGGGAATGGCAGATGCTGATGGGCAAAATGTGGGAGCTGGGAAGGAGCAGTGAATGCCCAAAGCCTGGACATGTTGCTGGATCAGGCCCCCTCCACCCTGCAGCTACAGGGGAATGATATTTGAAATAATCCTCACCCTCTGTAGGTTCTTAGCCTGGCTTTTTCACCTGATTTTGCAAGCTCAGTGAAGGGATATCCTGGGGAAGCACAGCCTCCCCGGGTAAAATCTTACTCATGAAAGCTTGGGACCATGGTGGTCTTTGGGGTTTTCGAAGAGTGAGGGCAGAGCCATCTGCTCAAATGCCATTTGGCAAGGCACCAGGGCAGCTTTTATCTCACCCTGACAATCCTTCTCCTTTCATCTCCCAGTTAGGTGCTGACCCAGACCCCAAACTGGGAATCTGACCTCCCCAGCTGGAGTCTCACCCCTCGGCAGCCCTTGCACGTTCCAGGTAAAGGGCAAAATTGAGGCTGGGCTCCCATGGGATCCAAGTTTATGGTAACAGGGCTGCAAATCACGGGGATGTTGTCATACAGATGACACACACCCTCTCATATTCCAGAGGGAAACACAATTCACCCGTAACATAAGGTCTCTATTCCCTTTAACACCCGGAGATTCATCTTGAATTTCACTAAGGCTTTCATGAAACCAGTCGATGGTCCCATTAACAGCAATTCTCAGGCCAAGTGTGTTGGTTTTCTATAGGTGCTTAGAGCCAAATCCAGGCCTGTTCCTGTTCCAGCTATGAAAAGAGAAGTGCTGGTCCCACTTGCACACTTGAGGTCAAACTGTTTGGAAAGGATTGAGAAAGCAAAACCTGTGTGTTAAAGCAACGACCGTGTTGCAAATGTTTCTTTTCCTGTGAACTGGAAGGTGAGCGGGGTAGCAAGAAAAGAGAAAATGCTGGCAGAAAAGGCAACAGTGTGCAAGTGCCAGCACGCACGCCAAAGTGAGGAAATTCGGGACTCTGAGATTGCGTAGAGAGAGAGGCCTGAGTCCCTGCCGCAGCGGGCATTACAACAGTGCCATTAATTACGTGATAGCGGTGTTATCACTTCATTAATTCAGTATGAGATGTGCAACATCAGATACCAGAGGGGAGGGATAATCCAGGGAACCGCGCCAATAGGGTCAAAAAAGATAGAGCGGTTCCTTGCGGAGCAGCCAAAGGCAGGGCTCACCCTGAGCCGCTACAAAACCACAGCTGGGGGGACACGGGGTCTTCATCACCCACCAGACCCAAGCCCTGTCTTCTCTCTTCCCTCTAGGATGTGACAGGCTCCTTCTCAAATGTGGTTGGGAGGGTTTTGCTCCCAGTAGTACTCCCATACTCTCACTGTAGAGAGGTTGGGGCTGGTCTCTTCTCGCAGGTAATTAGTGACAGACCGAGAGGGCACGGCTTCAAGCTCCAACAGGGGAGGTTTAGATTGAACATTGGGAAAGAATTTTTCACCCAAAGAGTGGTCGGGCATTGGAACAGGCTGCCCAGGGAGGGGGTGGAGTCCCCATCCCTGGCTGTGTTTAAGAGTCGTTTAGATGCAGTGCTGAGGGACATGGTGTAGGGGAGGACTTTGTAGAGTAGGGGAGATGGTTGGACTTGATGATCCCAAGGGTCTCTTCCAACCTAGACAATTCTATGATTCTATGATTCTATGATTCATTAGAAAGTTTTTCCAGAGTCTCTGCTCATGCTGAGTCCCCCCCAGCACGGCTTCTGCTTATACCTAACTGGGTTGTACTGGGCAAGGAGGCACCAGCATCCCCTCTGCCCGGGATGCCAGGGAAATAAAAGGATGGTGCTGGAGCCTGTGTGATTTGACCTGTGAAAGTGACTCAGCCCTGTGGTTTTCCACTGTGTGAGCTCACAGCCATGTCCCACTTCCTAACCAGTGTGAGTTACTGCTCTAGGTGCCAAAGCCAAGCCCGTCTCTACTGGCATTTGCTTCTTTCACTGGGAGAAAAGCGAGCCTGGGATCAACGAGGTGGCTCTAATCCTGGTGCATTAGCAGGATCATGGGAAAGCCCCCAGGGCCTGTGCAGCTTGGCACTTTGCAGCCAAAGATGGATGGAGAGCCCTGCAAAGAGCCTGTTTGCATCTCCATCCACGACAGGGCGAGAAGAAGCCTCCAATAGGGACTGGGAGAGGACACATGAGTTTGCAGAGCTCTGCCTGGCTCTGTGGGCACGGCAACGCTGCAACAGCAGCCAAGACGTGTGCTGGGCCTTACTCAAGACAGGCAGTTTCTGCAGTGAAAGGAGATTTCTGCAAGACTCATTGGAGTGCTTTCATTCACTTGAAGGCCAGGGAACCAGCTTTAGCTGACGGAAGAGCCCACGGGGCCAGAGACAGAAGTGAATACCTCAGAGGGACTCTCCAGACCTGTATGGCAAGTTCCTAATAGCCAGACCTGTGTGGCAGAAGATGAAGCTCTGTGTCCTGACATCACAATGTCATGCCAGGGCTTTGGAGGAGGAAACGGCTATTTGTCTAGTGTTTGCAGAGTGTCAGGCAAGGACCTGCTGTTCTCCTGCACGGGACTTTCTGGGCAAGGAAGAAAATGATAAATGATGTGTCTGTGATGCCACGGGGTCGCTGAGCCCAAGCAGAGGGCCACGGCTCCGACACACTCTGAAAGTGAGTGCTTCTCTGGGCGTATCTAGGTAATTTGCACCCACAGTTGAGCTTATCTCCACCAATCTTGATGAAGCAGCTGGGATCTCTGGAGATACAGCAGTATCAGAGCTCCTGCTGCTTTGCCAGAGAGACTGCTGAGGATCCGGGTGTCGTTACCAGCATCCTGGATCAGTCATTTCAGGAAAGAAATGAGGGTAGAAAGACAAGTCCCTGACTGATGACCCTCATGCAGCACAATACTGTTCTCCTACGAACAGCCAGAAGACAATAAATTTCTGGGTCACTGAGTCACTATAAATAGTTAGTGCTTTGTTGCTGAACCGTATCCAATCACGAGCCACCGTGTATTATTAGGTGTTTAATGATACTGTTTACATGCTTTGCTCATACCCTTGGTGCTTATTTCTAATAAAAAGCATCCAACCCAAGCAGACCTGAGAGAGAGCGTGGCTGGCACAGAGCAATTCTCAGCAGCACATCGCTGCTGCTGGCACAGAGCTATCCTGCTAGAGCCCCAGGCAGCCCTGGGAAGAAGATGTTGAAGATGATGCTCCATTAGGAAGCCCTACTGATTTAGTGGTGCAGGAGCCTTGGGTAGGAGCTGGCTGGATTCCCAGCTAGTCTAAAACTCTGGCAAACTGACGCTGAAGTCAATATTGATATAATTATCTCAGGGCAGGCCAGTGAGATAAGGCCCATAAAACTTGCTGCAGGGAGGATGTGATCTGAATATGGGGAACAAATGAATGGAGGAGAGAAGAGAAGGAGATCCAAGCTGTCAGGATCCCATCCGAGATAGTGCCCTGAGCCCCAGCTGGATCTGCAACATGCTGCCAGCCAGCAGGGATAGCTCAGCCTGGTCCGATTTCTCTAATCCTCCTTTTAGGGCACTTCACAAGGAGCCTGATCCTGTGAGAGAGTCTGGAGCAAGAAGAGGGCTCCCCTGATGCTGCTGTGAGGGGTGAGAGAGCTGGGCAGTGCCAGGCAGAGGGTGCTGGCTGATGGGGAGATGATGCCCGTGTAAGTGATGCTCCTGCCTGCTCTTGGTTGCAAGGTCTGGCCCTGAGCATGGTACAGCCTTTGGGGCTGTCGTCAGGTGCTCAGACAGCAGCAGTTTTGGGGAGGGTTGGTTTTTTCATCTCCCCTGGTTTGGACAGGAGATCACATGCCAGCCCTGATGCAAGTTTAGATCTCTTTTGCTTTCTCCAACTGGGAATCGCATCTTACAACAGAAACTGCAGAATTGGTACCCTCCACTGGCACAGGCACTTTGTTGAGCTCCGTGGACTGGTAAAAGCGAGCCTGGCAAGAAGGAGATCAGTGCAGGGACAAAAGAAAGCTCTCTTTTTACTGGGAAAGAAGTGCCCTGTGTTCACATATAGAGAGGAACAAGGGCTAGTTTAATCACTGGAAAAAAAACCCTGCAGGGTTTGCTCTGCCCACATCTCTCTGTGTGTCCCTCAGTATCACACTAGTTTGCCTCTGTGTGGAAACACACATCGGAGAAGTTTTCCTCTCCTGGAGAAAAACTGTGTCTGGGTCCTGCCTGGTGAAACTCATCCCGACAAACCCGGTGCCTCAAACATGATGTCGTGTCAAAACACCAGAGATGGCTGTGGCTAGTGGGGACCTCAGTCCAGGACTAGGCACCTGGGGAAGATTTTCAGGAATTGCTACATAATTCAGAAATCCACAAAACGACCAGGTCAGCTAAGAGTTAACATGAGAGGGCTTTGGGTCCTAAGAAAGATAGTTATAGGTCTGGACACACCAACTGGTGTCTAGCAGTGTGATCCAGAGAAGTCAGACACATAAGTCAGTCCTTTTGGGGAGCACCTGAGGTGCTTCTTGGTGTGTCAGGATCCTGAGCCACTTTGAGAGTCTGGGTGTAAATCAAGATCCTTGTGAAAATGGGGTTTCAGCTCCGCAGACCCATTTGAAAAATGCTGCCTGGGAGGCAAGGCAAACTTATCTCCCAGAACGAATTCTGATTAAAAACATAACTTTCAGACTTCCTGCTCTTGGTGGAAATCGGCCCCTTTCTAGTGTTGCCAGTGACACTCCAAAACACAGAGGCCTTTGGCATCTCCAGCTACATTTGACATGCTGGTGTGACTATAAGTGATTTTTGTGCCTCCTTGTCCCTTACACCTTGCTCTGCAGCCCCGAGCCCATCCGATAGGGATGTGGTGCCAGTGAACACATCCAGTTGGATGCCAGATTTGGTCTGGACTGGCAGATCTTTATTTGTTAACTATCTCAAAGAGAAGTATCTACATACAGCCCGAGCATCCCTCCTCTGAGACCCCGGCTGGGCAATTAGAGCTGAGGAGCTGCGGGACACGGGCAAGGGAATTATTGTTATTATAGGCAATTTATTAAAAGCAGGAAATGCCTTAAAAAAAAAAAAAAAAAAGAGGAAGAGGCATTTCCATGAGAACAAGAACTTCTAGTGTTAGACAGTAATTGCTAAAAGTTGTAAACAGGGCCTTTGGAAGGTTGTAAATCCACATGCCTCACACCCCTGCCAGCCTGTAATTGCGCTGAGGCAGGAGGAGATGCTCGCGGGGACCGGTTACGGATGCGGAGACAGATACGGATGCTTCCAGCCAGGCTTCAGCCAAGAGGCTGCGTTCAAGGGACTGGCACTGGATGGGGCCTGAATGGTAAAGGATCAGAGGAGGTGAAACTGGCTCACACATCAGCTTTCCTCTCCCCGGAGTTCCGGATTCCCAACCTGCCCGACACGGTTCACTCCAGTGCTGTCTCTCGTTTTGCCACTCCTGTACATTTAGCTGGAATATATGAGCCCTGTGTGTGGGACTTACCCCAGTTGGCAGGAGAGCTGCAGGACTGGTATAACAGGATCTCACAAATCTGGGCTAAGGAGCACCGCCAGAGTTTTCTCACTGGGAGATCAGCCCCACGTGTGCCAGAAGTACCCCTAACTCCAGCTCATTTTGGGGAGCAGCTGGCTGTGCTCAGCAATAAAACTCCCGTGATTTACCCGAAGCTCAGAAAATGTGCCCTTCACCAGCACCCTCCAACAGCGGGAAGTTCAAAGGAGTGAGCAGGAGGAAAGAAAAGAAGGTTGTCCCATCTCATCTCCCAAAAGCAGCTCCGAGGTGCCCGGAGCCGTCGCGCCCCAGCCTGCCCTTGGGCTGCGCCCGCACTCACGGTGTTGTAGTACTCGGCGATGACCGTCGAGCGCTCAAAGTTGCTTTCACACCAGTCGACTTCGGCGCTTTGGTAGGAAAATATGCTCGGCATCGTTGGGCCACCTTTGGAAAAGGGAGAGGGGAGAGGGGTTAGTTTTCTGCCCGGGGAGGAGTGTGTTGCACACCCGAAGGGGAGAAGCGCTCTCTGCCTGCCTCTTGCACGCGCGCGTGCTCGCCTCGCACCAGCCCGCTCAAGCACAGCATCCTTACCCCGCTACGAGAGACTCATCCTCTTCATCCTCCACTCTATTGTGGAGTATTTCCTCCTCTCTCCCCACGACGCAGGAGTGACAAATCACCCTAGGAAATGTTCTTGAGCCTGGGAACGGTCGCCACAGCCCCATCCGTGGCATCAACATCTCTCATCAGGGGTTGTCGCTGCCACACGAGGCTTCCCCATTTCAGCCCTGTCCTTGTCGCTCTGTCTTCTCCCTTCACTTTCTTTATGACTCAGATCTTTCTGCCAAGAGGACTTCCCTGTACTTTGTGGGCTGTCACCTACCTTTTGGGAGTGGACGGCTCCACAGGATTTATTGCTCATTGGCTCTGTTCTCCTTAGATGTTTCTCAGCATCTTCCCAAGGGCTGGAGCTCACCTTATGCAAGCTCAGCCCTGGAGCACCAGCCCAGACTCTGGGTATTACTGGAGTCCTGGGGGTGCAGGGCAAAGGCAGTGATTTCACTTTAAATGCTCTCCCATGCAAGGCCCGTCCTGGTTTCCCAGTGAAAGGCATCAGAGCTTCACACCTCAAGTGGGGTCTCCACCACCAGGTCCCCCAGCCCAGCCTCTGGCAATGGCAGAAGCTGCAGTTACAAGTGGGATTCTAAGAAAAAAATCTAAACTTTTGCCTGCTTTCCTTCCCCACGCTAAAGACTTTCCTATCCTCAGTGTGAGCACCATTTCTCAGCTCTCTATTTACTCATTTGAAAAGGTAAAAATTCTGGTGGAGTTTCTATTTGGCATGTTTTGTTTCAAATCCTTGAGCCTTTGGAGCTACAGATGGGTGCCAACCTTAGAGGTGTTTGGAAGCACCATCCACACCCTCGCAGCTGGGTCTTAGGCACACAAAAGCCAGAGGAGTTCCCTAGAGCTGAGCAGTGAAGTCCCTGGGTGCAGCCTTGAACTAACCCATCCGGCTGCGCTTCTCCGGCTCCGCAGACGAAGCAGGTACCGAGGTGACACCAAGCCCTTCAGCAGCATCTCTGAGCTCCCCAGGCACTGGTAGCAAGGGATGGAAAACAGACCTTGCTTTTCTTTGAAAATCCTTTCAGCCATGAGTCTAGCGTGGGGAAGGGAAGTTTATCTTAAAACCACTCATCAGTTTATCGTGTTCTTGCGGAGAAACAGTCGAGTCCCTGTTTACACCAGTGGCAGCTGAGCAACACCACTGAGTTCAGCAGTTACTGGAGGTGTGCAGTGGTGTGAAGCCACCACAGCTTCCTCTGCTGCTCTTCCCAAGGAGAAGTTCAAAGGGAGAAAACACCTAATACAAACAAGCTCTTCTGTAACCTCCTGCTCCAACCAGATAAACTGACTTGTGGATAAACCTCCACTGTTCTTTTACAATTGCAAGTTAACGATGCCCTCCCTTGAATCCAGGCTGGCTGGTTCCACAGAGCAGGTGAGATCACAGCTACAGAAGAGAAATAAAAGAGATGGCAGACAGATTGGTTTGAGGTCTGGCTCTTTGGGATCTTGGGTTTCCATGTGCTCATTTGCGCTGCGGGGACTCTCTCCCCATCCCTGGGGCTCTGCATTACGCTTTTACAGCCATGCAAGAGGTTGTGTAGGGTCAAAAAAGAACCAGACCCAAGATGGTAAATCCCACCTCCTATTTGAACAGACCTCAGTTGAGAGGTGGAGGAGAAATGGGACAGAAGAAGAAAAAAGAAGAGAAAGATGGAAGAGTGCACAGGAGCTGCTGGTTTACTGCTCGCCTCCCATCCCAGCCTGGCTTACCTGTGTTCCCTGGGGATGGACCCACACTACTTCCAGGCGGTGAGGAGAAGAGTCAGGAGCTCCAAGGTTTCTAGCAAAGCTGGAGCAGCAACCTGCCCTGCTGCTCTGGCGCTGAAGGAGTGCCCGTGGTGTGAGCTCACCCGGGAGCAGCCGCCAGGAAATACCCTCGCTCCGTCTCTAGGGAAAGCCTTGGGATGAGACAAGAGCCATGAGCACCCTCCAGGCAAACCTGCCGGTCCCCCAAAGGAAACATATTGGCTGGAGAGTTTATATCTGTGCACCCAAATGGGCAGGGGCAGGGAGGGAGGGCAGAGAAGCGTGAGCTGGAAAGGTTGGAAGAGCGGGTAGAAATGCAGTCTGAAATCATCGGTGTGCCCCCAGGCAGGTTACCTGCGCAGGCGCACACACCCCCATCCTCACCTTGTTTTTCCCAGGGGAGGGTCTGATCCAGACAGCCTCCCTTATGGAGCTGGTTAAAACCCAACAAAATGGTTTTCACCAAAAAAAATCATGCGGCGAGATGATGCTGCCTCGTTTTTGAGCCACTTTTCCACTTGATTTTATTGTAAAAAATAAATCACGCTTCTTGCAGTTAGTTTATTTTGTTATTTAGTTAGAGAATTGACTGAACAGGATGCTTGTGGGTGACTGCTTTGCAAACATTTTGCTCCTGAATCACAGAATCACAGAATTACAGAATTATCTAGGCTGGAAGAGACCCTTGGGATCATCAAGTCCAGCCATCCACCCTACTCTAAAGTACTCCCCTACACCATATGCCCCAATACCACATCTAAATCCCCTTCAGGATGCCAAGAAATTTGGCAGCAACTAAATTTTGACCAATTTTTCCTCCATGTAGGGTTGGAAAAAGAGGAAATATGTGCTTTCTTAAACATAAAAGCTCATTATTGGGTTCGTTCTTCCCATTTGAGCAGGGGAGACACCACATTCAGCGTCACAGGACACCTTGATCCAAGGTGTCCCTGTCCATGTGGTCCCTGAAGAGCAGGGCTCAAAGAGCAGCCTTTGCTGTGACACTTCAGGTTTGCCCTGGGGATTGGCTCTTTGGGAAGCCAAGCCATTTATTTTGATACTTCTATAAAAAGGAGCGGACCTGGGAGACCTGAGCTGTGCAACACCTCCTGAAGATGCCAGGGCTTACAAAAGCCTCGCAAATCCACACGCATTTTGAAATGAGAGGGTAATTAACCACTGAAGCAGCTTATATTACAACATGGTGGAGCCTCCGTTATGTGTAACTAAGTCAAGGCTCGGTGTCTTTCGAGGACAGACGATGCAGCTTGAAGCAGAAGATGGGAGGCAAATCCCAGCGAGCTGCTCTCACCTCCTAGATGGCTCCACCATGGTGTCCACGTTGAGAAAGGCTGGGTTGAATCTGCTTCTTATTCACTTCCAACGCTGGAAGGGAGCGTGCGAGTAGGAGAGTGAGTTTGCACGCTGAAAGAAGGTACCCAGTTCCCCAGGGGATCCCAGTGAGAAGCAAGTGGTGACTTGCCCGTCCCACTGCCAAGGGAGGCAGGTGAAGGTGGCAGAGGTGGATTTGAAAATAAGACAGATCGTTGCCCAAACACGTGACGCCTGTCCCGTGTAAACTTCTTGGAAAAGAATGAGTTTTCCCAGCCCAAAAAACTCCAGCATCCTTGGTGTGAGCAAAGCACCCCAAGCTTCACTGAGGTGTCCTGCGCCACGCGATGAGTAAATAACTGAGGAGGATGTTATGAATCTGCATCTTCCCTGATTCATCAATAAGTAGCATTTGGGTCATAAAGAGAGGCTGGTTTCCTGGTGAGTCCTCCTTCCCAGCTCCTCCTAATGGTCACATTCTCCTGCCCATGGTCAGAAGGGCCTGGGAGGCTGAGGATGCTGACATGGAGTGGGCTGGGCTGATGAGGGTGCCCTGGGAGCAGAGGGGTGACACTTTCTGGACCTCACATGAGAGTTACACAGAGGGACTCTCCTCATCCTCCCTGTATTGGAGAATTCTTTCTCACAAAACTTCACCCAGAGTCCTCATGTCCTGGCTAAGACCTGCTGCCTCCTCTCCACCTGTCTTGACATCTGACATCTTGGCTTTCACAGATGTGTCTCTTCTGCACCAGGATCTGCAAGGAAACTTCATGGAGGAGGTTTGTCCCTCATCCTCTCCCCTTAGCTATTCCCTCCCTGCTCCCTGGGACTGATGCCATCTCGCAAGACCCCACGTCCCAGGCAATTTTTCACTGAATTTCACTGAATTTTTAGAGTTGGAAGGGACCATAGAGATCATCTAGTCCAACTCTCCTGATGAAGAGGATTGCCTAGAGCTTGTCAGAGCATGTTACTCAGGAGCATCCAGGCGGGTCTTGAAAATCTCCAAGGAAGGGGACTCCACACCCTCCCTGGGCAGCCTGTTCCAGGGCTCTGCCACCCTCACCGTGAAGAAGTTTCTCCTCATATTTGAGTGGAACCTCTTATGTTCCAACTTGTGCCCGTTGCCCCTCATCCTCTCACTGGGAACCACTGAAAAGAGTCTGGCTCCCTCCTCCTTCAACCCACCTTTGAGATACTTATTAAGCATTGATAAGGTCTCCCCTCAGCCTTCTCTTCTCCAGGCTAAAGAGTCCCAGCTCTCTCAGCCTTTCTTCATAAGGGAGATGCTCCAATCCTTGAATCATCTTCGTTGCCCTGACTTTGCCAATGTCCCAGACTTTGTGATATGGGACATGCTTGAATCTGGAGATCCTCATCCTGGCTCCTCCATCATCCCTTGGGAAGCAGCGGAGTCCCAGGGTGTTGCAGGGAGGCAGCTGAGAGCCGGCAGTGGAAGCAGGAGCTTTCACAGGAGCTTTCACAGGAGCTTTCACAGGAGCCAAAGCGCAGCCTCAGGGCCCCAACTGTGAACGTTTTATGACTGTGTACTCCCAAACCATGGTGTGGGAGCAATTCTGCTGCTGGCGCCACCAAAACAGGGAAGTGAGGACTCTCCTGGTGGGCAAATGTGGGAGAACACAGGGACAATCCTTAACTTGAGGCTGGTCCTACCTGCCTCATCCTGAGACACCTTGGATGGAGGCTTCGATCAGAACTACTGTTGATGGGGGATTTTTTTTTAAAAAAAGCCCATCTGGACAAGCTGTGCCTGAGAGACAAGCGTGTTTTATGTATTGCCTGGGCTGGTGTGGGGCCGTGAGTGGGGACAGAGGGGGCAGTAACACACAGCAGGGGCAGGGAGGGTGAGGGGGGAGTGCTGGCACCCCTCATCCCCGCTGCCTTTTGCTCAGTG